ATCATCATCATTATTATCAATATAATTGTCAAAATATTTGAAAATAAAGTTTCTATTTTTGTTAAATTTTATTCCTTCTCGTGGAGCATTTTGGAAAGATTTTCTTTCTTTCTTTTTTTCTTTTTTTTTGCTCAAATTGAAATGAAAATTCATGCAATAATTTATCAACGTCATCTAAGCAGACATACTGCACAAATCTAAATTTATTTGAGGCTATTATTAATTTCAAAAGAATTCAAAATGATTAAGTGAAATATGCAAATGTTTGTGGTTTCTAACCATTATATTTGCGCCTCAAAATGATACTACTTGGATGAGAACCAAATTAAACATTGATTTTTCCGCATCACTTCAAATTTTTACATTTAATTTCCTTTTTCCTTTGTCTATTCCATCTATATGGCAAAAATTTCATGCTAATCCTTGGAAATTATACAATTTATGATCGTATAAAGTTACATATATTATCCGATATATGCGATAATTAACATAATCATCGAATGAAATATAATTTTCCGTTGATAATCAATAATTGTTGATCTAAAAAATAGCAGAGCAGTAATATTCGTTCTTGATCCCATCCATGGATCAAAATTTTATAATGCACTACTCAATGAAATAGAGTAATTAGTAGTGCAGTTAATGACGGCATAATGAATAGAAGAGCATTGATGCCACGTGAGCAACCTGCTAATTTAATTCACGTGATACGTATCCGTAATTTAGTCCATATGATGCGTATCGGTAATTCAATTTATGTAATAAGTGTTGGAAATCCAATCTATCCAATACGTACCCGTAATTCAGTTCATGCGATACGTATCGGTAATTCAGTTCATGCGGTACATACTGGTAATTTCGCTCGTGCGACACGTACTGGTATTTTAACACATAATTTAGCACATGCGACACATACTGGTAATTTAGCACATGCGACACATACTGGTAATTTAGCACTTGCGACACGTACAGGTAATTTAGTTAATGCGACATGTACTGGTAATTTAATTCATATAATGCGTACCAGTAATTCAATTCGTGCGATACGTACTGGTAATTTAGTTCAAGTGTTGCGTATTGATAATTTAATTCATATGATACGTACCAGTAATTCAATTTATGTAATACATGCTAGTAATTTTGTTCATGTAATGCGTACCCGTAATTCAATTTATGGATTAAATAATTTAGTTCATGTGATGCGTGCTAGTAATTCAGTTCATGCAATACATGCAAGTAATTTAATTCATTCGATACGTATCGATAATTTAATTCGTATGATGCATGCTAGAACTTTAATTAATCGAGCACAATCCAATAATCTAACACAAGCAATACGTACCAGTAATTCAGTTCGTACGATACGTGCTTATAATTCAGTTCATGCGATACGTATCGATAATTTAGTTCGTGTAATACGTAGTGGTAATTCAGTTCAAATGGTACGCACCGGTAATTTGATTCATGTAGTACGTACTGATAATTCAATTTATATGATGCGTACTGATAATATAGTTCATGATATACATATCGGTGATTTAATTCGTATAATCCTTGCTGGCAATTCAATTTATGTATTACGCCAAGATAATTCAGTTCAAAGGATACGTGCTGGTAATTTAATTCATGGAATACATGCGCGAAATTCAATTTATACGATACGTGCTGCTAATTCAATTCATGAGATGCATAATGATAATGCAATTTATATGATACGTACTGGTAATTTAGTTTATGTAATAAATACTGGTAATTCAATTAATGTGATGCATACTGGTCATTTATTTCACGTGATATGTACTTATCAATCAGCTAATACCATACGTATTTTCGTAGCAAATAATTCAGTTTTTGCGACACGTTCAGGATATAATTGCATTCTTATGATAAGTATAGATAATTCTTTTCATATAATACGTTGTGGTGACTCAATTTGTACAATACATTCAGATAATCCACTTCATCTGGTGCGTACCGATAATTCTATTCATGTTTTACGTATTGGTGATTTAGTTCATACAATGTTTGCTCCTCATTTACTTCCTGTAATACGTACTGGTAATTTAATTAGTATGATGATTAGTAATTCAGTTTGTATGACACGTGCCAGTAATTACGTTCATGTAAGGCGTATCAATAATTCAGCTTACACCATTCGTACTCGTAATTCAGTTCGTATGATGCGTCACGGTAATTCAATTCATGTCATACGTACTCATAATTTAGTCCACGTAATGTATCTCAGTAATTCAGTTGGTGCAGTTGGTAGAAAATTTTAAATAAAATTTAACGAATGATTCAAAAGCATTGATTGTTTACCATTTCCTTGCAAACATCAATTTTTTTCTTCGTCAATTTTTACTTTTTAAAGACTAATGTAATCCTTTTCTCCCACTTCTAAATAAGCACTGTTCAGTGTTGAAATTTGCTATTTTTATAATTATTCAGCTTCATTGATGCAATTCAAAATTGTTGCTTTAAATTTAAAATGAAATAATTTTGAGTCAGTGTTTTTTTTTCCAAATGCAATGAATAAAAAACTGAAAGGAGATACAACACAAATATGCAAAGCAAAAAATTCGAAAATAATAAAATTAAATTTTATCACAGTCAAATTTCCTTTTCGGAATCATTTACCGCATTTGAATTATTGTTGCTGCTTAATTTTTCTTTACTACAATAATTAACATTTATATTGAGCATAGTTATCCAATGTTTTCAACAATAATAAATTCTTGATCGAATATCAGCGAAAAACATTTTTGACGCAATCATTATTTTTCAGCAAATTATATAACAAAAAGAAAAAATTTATTACCCGAAGAGGTGCAGTTTTTTGAAATATTCCATAATAATAACTTTTCTGATTGAGCATACGGAATAGAACTATGAGAATTCAATTTGCGCTTTGAATGCTTCTGCACTCGGCTTATCACATGCTCTTATCATTACTCAACCCTCTCCAATTACTGATAACGCCTTACGATTCCCTCCCTTTCAACAACTGAAAGCTACCTTGGTGATTACATTTAATTATATATGTCTTCCTGCAGTAGAACGTTCAATCTATTCTTTTTTCCATAATAATATCTGAAATGAGTAATGCGACTTCTAACCTAATGGAAAATAGGTATGATATTTAAATTTGCG